TGTCCCACCAGAGACAGTAATATACTGGACCATTGTTACTCCACAATAAAGGATGCATATCGCTCGGTCCCCAGAGCAGCTGTAGGACTCTCTGACTACTGCCTGGTTCATCTTATACCGACTTACAGGCATAAACTTAAATCTGTAGTAAAGTCTGTAAAGAGATGGACCAACGAAACAGAGCAGGAATTAAAAGCATGTTTCGACTGCACTGATTGGAGTATTTTTGAAGCTGCCACCAACGATCTGGACGAGCTCACGGAATCTGTAACATCATATATCAGTTTCTGTGAAGACATGTCCATCCCTACCAGGACTCATTTAACATTTAACAATGATAAGCCATGGTTTACAGCAAAACTTCGTCATCTTCGTCAGGCCAAAGAGGATGCCTACAAAAGGGGGGACAGAGTCTTGTACAATCAGGCCAGAAACACACTGAATAAGGAGATTAGAGTGGCCAAGAAGAACTACGCTAAAAAGCTAGAACACCAGTTTTCTTCCAATGAGCCTGCATCAGTGTGGAAAGGCCTGAAAGACATCACCAACTACAAGACACCATCCCCCAGCACTGAGGCCAATCAACAACTTGCTGAAGACCTGAATGAGTTTTACTGTAGATTTGAAACTCCCAGTCTAACACCTCACACCCGCTCTGAACATCTCTCCACACAACCATCAACAACTCCAACGTTTCAGATCAGTGAGGATGATGTGCAGAAAGAACAAGAGAACACCAGACGGTGTGACACCAGCCTGTCTGAAAACCTGCGCCGACCAGCTGGCCCCCATCTTCTCTCAGATCTTCAACAGATCACTGGAGCTGTGCAAAGTCCCTGCCTGTGTGTCCTCTCCCCACTGCTCTTCTCCCTCTACACCAACGACTGCACCTCTAAAGACCCCTCTGTCAAGCTCCTGATGTTTGCAGATGACACTACAGTCATCGGTCTCATCAAGAACGGAGACGAGTCTGCTTACAGACAGGAGGTTAAAGAGCTGGCTGTCTG